TAAGTATCAACACTAGTTGATCCTATTGATGACAAAATTGATTTTCTTGCAAGATCGATTTGTGTCCATCTAGTGTTGACACTTAGCTTTAAATTTAGAAATAATAAATTTGTTAAGCATAAATATCAACACTAGTTGATCCTATTGATGACAAAATTGATTTTCTTGCAAGATCGATTTGTGTCCATCTAGTGTTGCTATTAAGCTTTAATTTAGGAATAATGTGTTTGTTAAGCATAAGTATCAACACTAGTTGATCTTATTGATGACAAAATTGATTTTCTTGCAAGATCGATTTGTGTCCATCTAGTGTTGCTATTAAGCTTTAATTTAGGAATAATGTGTTTGTTAAGCATAAGTATCAACACTAGTTGATCCTATAGATGACAAAATTGATTTTCTTGGAAGATCGATTTGTGTCCATCTAGTGTTGACACTTAGCTTTAAAAAGTTGTTAAAGTTATAAAGTTGTTAAGTTGTTTAAATAAGTTAAATTAAATAATGTGGTTTTGTTGATGGATTTAGTTGTTGGAATTAAGTCAATATTAATGTAGTTAAAGTTAAAAAGTTGTTAAGTTGTTTAGATAAATTAAAATAAATAATGTGATTTAGTTGGTGGATTTAGTTGTTGTATTAAGTCAAAACTAAACTAGTTAAAGTTGTTATGTTGTTTATATAAGTTAAAATAAATAATGTCGGTTTAGTTATGAATTTAGTTGTTGGAATTAAGTCAAAACTAATCTAGTTAAAGTTCAAAAGTTGTTATGTTGTTTAAATAAGATTGCAGCAGCAAAGGAGGTAGAGAACAAGAGGTATGCAGCGCTTCAGGCCCAACTAACTTTTCTTTTTGAATCAGGAAATATTCTTCCTCCATGTCCGGCTAGCAGTGATGGATCTGATCAGGAGGGTGATGAGAATGATAAGGAGAGTGAGGGTGATGAAGAGTAGTTGTATCTATTTGACATTTTAGACTTCTATATTTTTAGAATTGTTTAATTTGATCGTATTTTAGTTTATTTTTAAGTTGGATGAAGTTTATTTTGAAATAGTTTGTATATGTTGAAAATATTGTGTTGTTTTGGTTGGATGAAGTTTATTTGGCTTTGGGTTGTTTTAGTTGGATGAATTTTATTTGGCTTTGGGTTGTTTTGGTTGGATGAAGTTTATTTGGCTTTGGGTTGTTTTGGTATAAATATGCAGGTGGGCAACTAAAAATTGCAGCAATTTGCTGCCTGTTTTGCAGCAAAAAACCGACCTCCGGAGGTCGAAATTTCAACATTACAAAAATAAAAATACCGACCTCCGGAGGTCGGAATTTCAAAAATACAAAAATAAAAATACCGACCTCCGGAGGTCGGAATTTCAACATTACAAAAATAAAAATATCGACCTCCGGAGGTCGGAATTTCAACATTACAAAAATAAAAATACCAACCTCCGGAGGTCGGAATTTCAAAAATACAAAAATAAAAATACCGACCTCCGGAGGTCGGAATTTCAACATTACAAAAATAAAAATATCGACCTCCGGAGGTCGGAATTTAAAAAATACAAAAATAAAAATACCGACCTCCGGAGGTCGGAATTTCAACATTACAAAAATAAAAATACCGACCTCCAGAGGTCGGAATTTAAAAAAATGAATATTCCGACATAAAATAAAAACCGACTTCGAGAGGTCAGTAAATACCGACCTCCAGAGGTCGGTATTGAATAGCGACCAAGCTTTTTCCGACCTAAGCTGGAATGTCGGTTTTAGGTTGGTATTTCAGGGAATACCGACCTCCGGAGGTCGGTATTTATAGGTCGGTATTCACTGTTTTTTTAGTAGTGTAACCGACTGCAGAGGGAATATGACCAAGCAAAGGAAGACACCTCAGAGTCGGCCTAGAGCAGTCCAGAGAAAGAGGTAGAGAATCAGAAATCATTTCACCAAGTTTAAGCAATTGAAGAAGTACAATATACTAGTTAAGGTATTTGAAAAGATAGCTCACTTGAGTGAAGCGAAAAAATATTATCGATGAAAAGGAGCACATCTTGCCCTTCAGTGTCTCGGAAGTGTTCCATAACTGTCAGTTCAGTGAGCCCAACACGAGCACAATGTTGATGGTTAATCGAAATTTAGTTTGCTTGTGCATTATTCAACTCTTACGAAGTTCTTCAAATGCTGATGAGGATCACTAGCATATATTTCCATACCAACACAATACATTCACATATTTTCTTTTCCATACCAACACAATACATATATTACTCTATACATTTTTAAAAGGCTCACTAGCGAAATTTTTTTTGTGGGTGTTCTAATCAAACTTCGGTCAAGATTTTGCGGTACTTATTTTCTTCATTTGAGGTTAAACTTTACCTTATCACTTTAATTTATTTATGAAATTTGGTGTAATTATGTGATAAGTTTTTTTTATAGTTTTGTTTTATTCATAATTTTATTGAAATGGATATTGGGTTAAGTGATATATATCTATTTAATGAATGAAGATAGTTTAATTGGTGATTTTTTTTTTATTCGTTAATTATCTCTTAAAGATGAACGGGTCATAGCGGTGCCCTTGTATTGATTCAGATGCCAATAATGATAAAGTAGAAATTATTAGCCCCAAATAATTTGTTGCCTCTTTTAATTTATCAAACAAAAATAAGATAGTATAAGTTGATAAAAGCAACCGTGCTAGAATCACGAGACTTGAGGGGTGCCTCATACCTTCCCGTCAGTCAACATAATTTCTTACCCAGATTTTATTTTCGCAGACCAAAATTAAAGAGTCATTTCTTTTTGATTAGGGACTAAAAAAATGTGACTTGGAACACCGTAACTTAATTCCAAGTGGCGACTTCGAACATAATAAAATAGTCCCTTTTCAATACCGTCACTTAAATAAAAAAAAATTCGTTCCAAAAAGGGGTGTGACAATGTCAAATAGACAATTTTACCTTATATTTAGAACTTTAGAATAATAGATAAAGATATAGTCATCTTTAAACTAACAAACGTAGTAAATGTTTTCAAGGTGAAATTAAATCAATAGTTGTTAATAGAATGAATATTTAAGCCGTTCATATTCAATATAAAAGTTTTGATTTGAAGAGTTCATCACTATATGGATTCACAACCTGATCAGTGAAAAGATGAGAGTAATTTTGATTGATTGGTTGATTCAAATCCACCACAAGTTTGAACTTAATTGAGAACCACTTCACATCACAGTCAACATTATTATCATGAGAGACTGCATCAATCAAGAAGGGAATTGCAATCGGTGGGCATTAAGGTCATGCTCATAATCTTCAAATATGAAGAAATTTGGCCCATTGAGATATATTTCCAAAGCTTACATCAAATAAATAGAAAAGTCTTTCGCCTTATGAGCGGCTTATAACTAAAGCTAACAAATTTTTTAATAAACTAATTTGGTTTTTCAGGTCATAAACTTTGTGTGCAATTTCAAAAAAAATAACACTCATGATCAGGTGTTAATCATAGAGAAACAAATTCTTCGACAATTTGAATAGTACCTAAGAGTCCCACCACCTTAAGCATTCCTTGTGCGTTTAATTTCGGACGCGTTTGATCATGAAATTTTCACTTTTTTGAAAGTTGAACTACGAAAAATATATATATTTTAAAAATTTATTTGCTATATTTTGATTTGATATGAATGTTACGAAAATAAGAAATTTTAAAAATTTTGTGATATCAAATCGTAGATATATCAAATTCATCAAAATGCATATGAATTTTGAATGTGACCCTATTTTTAATAATGTTCAATTTTGAGGAGCAACTAATGGTGTAAACATAGTACAACCATGTACAACCATTCATAGCATCACTTTCCCTCCCACTCCTCTTTCTATGGAGGCATCAAGAATAATGGGGGATTTCAGTCCAAGAACTCATAGCATCACTATAAGCTTATGATGCTCATAAAAGTAAAACTCCTGGAGATCAATAGACAAGTCGAATACAATCGCCATATAATTAAAAAAAAAAAAACCATATTATCGTTGCAATTAATTCTTTTTGAAAATATTCATATTTGTTTGTAAAATTTCAAGAAGTTTTTTTTTTAAGGAATGAATTAGTAAAATTCTCTTTTCATTTATAATTTTTAATATGCGTGTATAAAGGAAAGTGATCAACTAATATAGAACAGACAAGAAGTACAATTTTTTCTCATATTAATATAATAAAAAAAATATATAAGTATTGATCAAACTTCATATCATATATCATTTGATTCTAAAATAAAAAAAATTGTGATATTTTGGAAACGAGAGTAACAACCATCCAAAGAGAGTAATAACAGAAATATGAAATTCCAAGGATCAACATCTCTTTTCTCTAAACGCAGCTCCTTTTTCCCATTCACGGGCCGCTGTTCACCACCACAACTCTCACCGCCATCACTCATAAAGTTACCATCATCATAAGGAAAAAAGACACTTCCTTTTATGAATCATAATGTTATTAATATGGGCGGTGTGACATCATCCATCGACTTGTCTGTTTACTCCACTGAATGAATCAATAGACAACCAGGAGATCGGGATTCCATGTCTAACTTGTGATACCAGATTATGTCCTTTTAGAATTAAAAGGAAAGGAATCACAAAATCCGGCAGCTTACCTTGTTCTCTTGGGACAATTATTTTCACAAAGCAATTCTGAGGATAAGGCTTACTAGAGATCTCAGCCGACATAACAGTGATGTAAAATCATTCACATTCGGCAACTGTCAGTTCAGTGAGCCCAACACGAGCACGAGCACGAGCACCATGAATTTCATTCATTTGACCATATACCAAAGCAGATAAATATGTATAAAATCAGCCAGTTGCAAGAAATTTATGTACTATATATTGAAAAGCAAATGTTATCTACAGAAACCTGTTTTTCACCATGTTTAAGTAATAACACTACTCTCAATCATTTATCTGTACAAATCGTTACCCTCTCGAGTACGTTCACCAACACCAGCAAACTAGCGATTTTTCCCGGTCTTGAACCTCTCCTCAAGCCTAACCTTGGTCTCTTTCGCAGCAGTCACCTTTTTGTCACGTGCCTGAAGAACATCAACATTGACGACATCCTTCAGATCCCCATCGACTGTGTAACGAGTAGGCATGATGTGGTTGTAGTTCACGAGCTTGATGAAAGCCTTCATACGAGATATATTCGCCTGCTTCTTTGCTGAATCCTTACGGATCACCTTTTTCGGGTACTTTGAGACACCTGCAACCAAATAATGGCCATATGGCCTGTCTCTTGTTTCTTCATCAAATGCAGCTTTCCAGGCAGCATAAAGCTTTGTTTGGCTTCCAAAACTTCACCATCCTCACCGCCACAGATTCTCACTATCTCTCTTGGCTGGATGAAATGGTAAATTTTGAACTTACGAACTCTACAAGTAAACCATTTCACATCCAAATCCAAAAAATAATTTGAATCGCTGAAAAACACAATAGATAACCGCTAAATTTTGAACTTATGAGCATTGCAAGGCTATTTCACATCCAAAACCAAAAAAAAAAACCTTCAATCACAGAGTAATACAACAACAATTGCTATGAACTAATGAACACTACAAGTACACAATTTCACATCCAAATTCAAAAAATAACTTAAATCACTGAAAAATGCAATAGGAAAAAGGTAAATTTTGAACTTATGAACGCTACAACTACACTATTTCACAGCCAAATTCTAGAAAAAGAATAACTTTAATGCACTAAAAGATACATCAAAAAACGTGAAAATAAAGTTTTGCACAATCACATAAACAACATAAAGTACTTGCAAAAATCGTCAAGAAGTTCCTCCCGTCATTCCCATTAACTAGAAGCTCACTTTTTTGGTTAATAGGGCCAAATATGATGCCCCTAGGGAAATGACTCTCAAAATCTCATGTTTTTGTTGTCATTTACTTGGTGTTGCTAGCCACCACTCCCCCTGGAGGCCCTCGAGCCCACCCCCTGGATACCCTCGACCCCCCCTCACACACGAGCCCCCTGCCCCACTCCCTCAAGGCCCTGCCTGCCTGCCTCAAGTTCTCACCCGAGATCCCTGTGAAACCCCTGAGACCCCAAGGCCCTACTCGAGGACTCACCTACTCTTGAGGCATTCCCGAGGCCCCGCACTCCCTGAGGCCCTGCAGTCCCTGAGGCCCTGCACTCCCCAAGGCCCCGCCCGCCTCGAGGTCCTGCAGGCCACGAGGCTATCCACCCACCTCGAGGCCCCACCCGCCCGCCTCAATACATCACTCCACCCGCCCTTGAGGCCCTGCCCGCACTCCCTTACCTGCTCAACCCAAGGCCCCGTACGCCTCGAGACCTGTAACATCCGACAATTTGAAATAACTATGAAGAGGCTTAGAATTGGAAATTTTCATTTTTTGGAAAGAATTTAAAAATCTGGAAAATTTGGCTAAGTAGGGAAAATAATGAATTTTTGGCCAACTTTGAACAGTTATAACTCCTAACTCAGGATGATCTAGGTGTGGTTCCAGTTATGGTTGCAAAGTTCATGGATTGGTCTTTCTAACGCCATCGAGTTTGCTCATTTCTGAGTTCGTATGAGTGAGTTATGCCCTTTGAAAGTTGGGCAGTTGGCAGGGAATCCGTCCGGAAATTTGTAAGGGCATTTTGGTCTTTTTCCTAGCTTTTTCTTTTGGATATATATGAGTGTGTTGGACTGATTTTGATCAGTTTTTCTCATTTTTAAAGAGTGAAAGTAAGGGTTTAAGAGTGAAGAGGAGAAGAAGAGGAAAAAAAGAGAAGATCAAGCTAGGTTTCGTTAAAGATCGTCGTGGTTTTCTTCGGGGGTGATCCCTATTAAGGTATGTGAGTTCATAGTGTTGGGTTGGTTCTTTCCCCCACACGCCAAGCTCGTTTAATTTCGAGAAAAGATTGATTATGTTTGATTGAAGTTGTTGGTTGGAATTGTTGAAGTTGTAGTTGTGTTGTGTTGTAGTTCTTGTTGGTTTGGTGTATGTTTCCGGTGGTGTTTTTGAGTTGAATCTAGTGTATGTTAAGGGTTTTGATGATCCTAAATGTTTGGGGGATGAAGCTTTGAAGTTTAGAAGGTTTAGAGTTGGAGAAAAGAAGGAGAAACGTGTTTTCGGGGAAAAGGGCTGGGGTGTCGCGCCAGCCAGCGCGCCCCAAGAGGGACTCTGAGGTCCAGCCCTTGGGGCGCCGCCCCTACCAGAGCCCCAACCAGACTTCTCTGAAGTTTGAGGTCTGGTGCTCCGCGCCTCTCAGAGCGCCAAGTCTTCCCATTCCTTCCCCACTTTTTCATACATGTTCCTAAGTGTTGTACCTATGTTCCCAAGTTGTTTCCAACACCCCAAGGTACGTTTAAACGTCAAGAACTCATCCATAACACGTGATCAAACACCTTGAGTCCATGATTCCAATTCAAGGAGAGTAAGTTTCCAAGTCAAGGGAAGTTAAGAGTTGAGTCTAGAAGTTCAAGAAGGGAGTGCGTCTTTAAAGCTTTCTAAGAGTCTCTGTTGAATGTTTTAACTTCATTTTTAAGGCTCAAGTTTCAAGTTAAGTTAAGAGTTTCAAGTAAAGAGTCAAGAGTTTCAAGTTAAGTCAAAAGTTTAAAATTGAGTTCATTTCTCAAAAGTTATTAGGGAACTATGTATTCCCAAAGAAGTTTCCAAATGTTTTTACATTTGAGTAATAAAGGAACTATGATTCCAAAAGAGCCTTTGGGCTAGTTTTCAAGAAAAAGGAACATTGATTCCAAGTGAGCCTTTAGGTAAAGTTTTGAGTAATTATCTCAAATAAAGAAAGATGTGTTTAAAACACTTATGAGCTAAGTATTTTTGGGAGTAGTCTTGAGCACCGAATTGGGGACACGAGTTCATATTAACTCGACTCTCCATAAGAACCATGCGCCAACATGGGAGTTAACGGGTCATACTTTTTAGATGATCACGTAAAGTTAATCTAGTGGATCCACTTAGTAAAGTTAGCTTCCTATATCACGGCAAGGTATAGGATGGTCCTTGGACAACGTGAGGTAAAACGTTGTATCACCACTAGGGCTCATGGTGGTGATTGTCGGTTAAAGAATCTCCCACTAAAGTTATATTACTTTTATATAAGTAAAGTTGAGTTGTTATTGTTTAATCTTTAACAAGCTAATTTGTTTATACTATTTTATAAGCTTTATATATTGCATGTGTCGTACTGCTTTATATATTGAGTTCAGTTATTCATGAGTTGAACAGAGCCAAGGTAAGAGTTCCTTTGTACTCTTTCCAAGCTTAAGTGGTGTTTAGCTTTCCATCTTGCATACTCGTACATTCAATGTATTGATGCCAGTTGGCCTGCATCTTATTATGATGCAGACACAGGTACCCAGGGCCAGCAGTCGGTTCGCCATTGATCCAGTTGAGTACTGCCGAGTCTGTGGTGAGCCTCTTTGTGTTCCGGAGGACTCGATTATGTTGTTCTTTTAGTTTTGTTTTATTAGGATGTTGCGGGGTCTGTCCCAACATCCATCTTAGTATTATAGAGGCTTCATAGACAGTCAGTCAGTTAATTTGGAGTCTCTCATCTATGTATATATGTAAATATTCTATTTTGAGACTCAAGTTGCCTTTTTGGCCAGATTTTATTTTAGTCAGGTTGTTTTAAAACCTTGCATTGCATTGAGTTTTCCGCTGAGTTAATAAAGCCAGGCCAAGGGTTCGCTTGGGGGCCAGCAATGGTCTTCGAGTGCCAGCCACGTCCAGGGTGTAGGCTCGGGGCGTGACAAGACCCTTCCCACCCCCTAGGGGTGCACCCATCCTAAGGCCGACCACCCACCTCGAGCCCTGTCCGCCCGAGTTCCCATCTGCCCCTGAGGCTCTACCTGCCCCCGAGGCCCTGTTCACCCCAATGCCTCGCCCATTTCACGACTTCGCCTTCCCCGAGGCCTTGCCTTAAAGCGGGCCAAGCTTCTCCCCACCACCAGGCCCCTTCCGCCTCGAGGCCCTGCCCACCCTTAGACCTCGCCTACCTCCAGGCTCAGCCTTCCCCAAGGCTTCGCCCTCCTTAAGGCTCCACTTGCCTTGAGGCTCCGCCCGCCTCTAGTTTTGGCCATTCCCACCTAGAGGCCTTGCCCGCCCCAAGGCCTCGTCTTCTTCGATGCCTTGCCCACCTCGAGGCCTTGCTCACCTTGAGGCTTTGCTCGCCTTGAGGCTTCACCCACCTTGAGGCACCGCCTGCCTCGAGGCCCACCACCTCGAGTCCTCTGCCCTGAGGCCGCCCGCACCTCCTACTCTTTCCATCCACTAACTTAAACCCGAGACCCTACCCCAACCTGAGACCTAAGATTCAAACCCAATCCCGACCCTGACCCGGAGACTTGACCTTGACCAAAACCTGAGACCCGACACCCTTCCTGAGATCCAACCTTGACCCTAACACCTAACCCGAGACAAAATTGGGATGGAAAGTTGAGGTTTGAAGTTCAAAATGATTTTGGAAAATGTTTTACTTACTTTTTTAACAAAATAAAGTAGAACACAAAAATGAAAAAAGTCTTTTAGGGAGATAAACAGATCAAAGTATTCAGAAGCTGTATATAACTTCTACAAGCTATAATACAAAGTAGAACATCAAATACTAGCCAATATATGGCCTAAAATTAATAAGGAAATATGCATGAAAAAATTCATCATGGAAGATAGATCATGATTAAAATTGTAGTGCAGGTGGTAGTTAATGCATGAAAACAATATTCTAACAAATAGATAATCCAAGAAGATGATACAACATAAATGTCGGCGTAGCATGATAATTTAGAACTTTTAACATGAAACTTAAGTGTTATTCTAGAACCATATGTCAGCTGCAGATTATGTCCAAAAAGATCAATGTCCTATAAGTTTATAAACATATTTCCCCATACAACTAGAATATACGCCATGCGAAGTAAATCTCATACGACCTCCATGATACATATATGCTATTTATGCCAAATGCACTTCCTTGGAAAGAAGAGAATTATGGGATAGTTTGGAAAGTATGAGCAACTCTATAGATGATCCATGGTGTATTGGACAATAATGGATCCTAATGAGAAACTAAGGGGGCATACCCCACAGGGCTAGCAGGTGTTTTGACTTCATTAGCACCATGGAGGCGCATGTGGACTATCTGATATTGGTTTTGTTGGTCCTAGGTATACTTGGTGTAATAACAAGAGACCTGGTAAAAGAATATGGAAAAGACTTGATAAAGTGTTTGTTAATGATATATGGGCTGAAAACTATCAAACCAAAACCATCAAACATCTTGCTAGAGTTGGATCAGATCATAGACCTTTACTGATGAAAAGCCACTCTGATAAGACTGATTTCATCAGATACTTTAGGCTTTTAAACCTATGGACTCAACATCAGGACTTCCTTTAGGTAGTGCAAGATTCTTGGAATATGTATGTCATTGTGGAGATTACAAAATAAGTTAAAAGCTCTCAGAAAAAGACTCAGTCAGTGGTCTAGAAACACTATTGGAGATATTTATAAACATGTTAACACTTGGGAAGCTAAGGTCCTGCTTCTTGAAGAACTGGATCTTGTCAATAATACTAAACAAAGCAGGGAGGAATTGAACAAGGAGCATGCAGAGTATGTGAAATGGCTCAGTATGCAAGACACTCTTCTTAGGCAAAAAGGCTAAGAAGATTTTCATAAATATATTCATAGTGTTATTAGAGATAGGAGGAAGAAACTTCATATTCACAGGATTAAGAACCACAATGATAAATGGACTCAAGAGGAAAACAAAATTGCCAAAGCTGCTATTAGGCTTTACAGGAAACTTTTTAATTTGGAGCAGCCTGCTATGAATAACAACTTCCTGGAGTGTACTCCAAGTCTGATTATTGATGATGATAATGAAACACTTCATAAAACTCCTACGGAGGAAGAAATCAAAGATGCAATATTCAATATGAGTGCTGAAAGCAATGCAGGACCAGATGGCTTCAATGGTAAGTTTTTTCACACTTGTTGGGATATTATTAAATATGATATTTGTGAATTTGTTGTTGGATTTTTCTCTGGTAAAAAGCTTACAAAGTATTTCACTCACACTTGTCTGGGCTTGATTCCTAAGGTTGTTTCCCCTTCAAATTTCTCACCTGAGACCTATTAGTCTAAACAATTTTTCCAACAAAATTGTTTCCAAAATTTTAGCAGAATCATTTCTGTTAATCAAAGTGGCTTTATTACTGGTAGGTTGATTACTGAAAATGTTATGTTTGCTCAAGAAATTGTTCATGTCATGTTTAACCTAATGTTGGTGGTAATATTGTTATCAAATTAGACATGGTTAAAGCTTATGATCGAATGGACTGGAATTTTTTAAAGAAGTCCTTAAAAGATTTGTTTTTTCAGACTAACTGATCACTCTTATATGGAATCTTATTTCTAATATTTGGTACTCCATTTTGATTAATGCCTATGGCTTCTTCTCCTCTTCTCAGGATCTCAAACAGGGTGATCCTCTATCCCCCTCTATTTTTATTTTGGGTGCAGAGGTTCTTTCCAGAACTCTGAACATTTTGCTCACTAACGATAACTTTACTCCATTTTCCATGCATAAAAGAGGCCCCCAAATCAATCACCTTGCTTATGCTGATGATATTGTTATCTTCAGTAGTGGCAATAGTAAGTTTTTTAAACTTATTATGAAACAGGTGAAGAATTATGAAAGTGTCTCAGGTTAAAGAGTGAACAAGGACAAAAGTTACTTCCTCACTGTCCCCTAAAACTGGTGCTTACAAGATTAATAGAATGAGGTGTACTAGCTTTATGGATAAAAACTTCCCTTTTACATACTTGGGTTGCCCCATTTATATAGGGAAACAAATTTCTTACTTTGATGACATTGTCACCAAGGTAGTCAGAAGACTCAATGGCTAGAGGGTAAGATGCTCACCTATGGCTGGCAGGGTAAGATGTTCACCTATGGTGGAAGAATTGTTCTGATCAAAAGCGTACGTCAATCTCTTCCTACTTATTTATACTCTTACTCCCATTAATCCGCCTGTGAGCACTCTTAATTTGTTAGAAAAACATTTTGCAAGGATTTTTCTGGGGATTCAATGAGAATAAATCCAAGTACCATTGGAGATCATGGAAGAACTTATGTATCCCTAAAGATGAAAGTGGCATGGGCATTAGAAGTATGAATGATATTTCTAAAACATTGGCTATTAAAAGGTGGTGGAGGTTTAGAACTCAACTATCTCTTTGGGCTAAGTTTATGATGGCTAAGTACTGCTTCACAATCTGATGCAATTCAGACTGCCTCAAGACCATTCACTCATAGCCAAGTTCGGGAACTTCAATGTATTGAAAGATTGTTCACAAGGACGGAGGTTCTTGAGCTTGCGTTGATGACAAAGAGGGGATTCCATGCCTTGCATGGTAACATACGCGCTTGGAAGGAGCTCCCAATTGAGCAATACCATGTTTGGATGATAGCTTGGATTGTGGGAGGTCTAACGAAGCAAGGAGGAGCAAGTGAAGACGCTACCTCATTCGACGAGCTAGAGACCACTTCGGCAACTAGCCAAACTGATTTGGTGAGGGTTCCAAGATCGCCTAAAGTTCCAAGGAGATACAAGGGAAGCTGCTCATTCGGCGAGCTGGAGATCAATTGGCGACTCGCCGAGTTCCTTAGGCGAGCACGACCTAGATCATCGAACTTTACAGAATGCTTCAAGGGAAGGCTTCTAAGGGTCACGTCGCCGAGTTCATTAGGCGAGCCCGACCCAGCTCGCCCTTTATCCTTATTGGGCCACTATTGGGACTTTTATGGTGTAATAGCCTAAAACTATAAATAGGCAGTTTAGGGTTCATTTTTAGGTAGACTATTTTGAAAATAAATGATTGATGAATTGGATCTCCTTTGAGAGACTTGAGAGCTTGGTAAAGCTTTTGTTGAACTTTGTTAGAAACGGGGGTTGCTTGGGTATTCAATTTCCTTGAGGTCTTCGTAAGAGATTCGGTGCTTGATTCAGATTAATCGATTGAGGTCTTTAGGTTTAATATACCTTTAGGTTTAGGTTGCTCTTGATTTCCTTTTCCTGTGTCAATCTATTTATCTTGATTAGGTGCTTGTTTAGGATTGTAATTGGAGGTTTTACGATTTAATATATCCTTTAGTTGCCAATTGTTCCTTCTTTTGTATCTCTTCTTCTACCTTTCTTTTGTTTCCGCATTTTATCTGTAATTCCCTTTTGAGAATTACATCATTTGGTATCAGAGCAAGGCTTAGAATCGTTCCTACGAATTCTAGTCTTGGGTTGTTACAAAAAAAAAGAGTCAAAACAAATGTTTTTCAAGAAAACCCTAAAAAGTTTTTGTTGATTTGATTCTTGTTTGAAGTTTCCAAGGTTAGATTAGTATTCTCTAACCTTATTTGAGTTTAGATCAGAGATTTGGTGAAGTTTGGAGATCTATTGAAGAATTCACCATTGTTGGGTGAAGAAGCTTGAAGAATTTCAAGTGGGTTTTCAGATTTAGGTTAAATTGGAGACTCTAGGGTATTGGGGTTTGATCTCTATATCCTTAGGAGCTCATAGCTGAAATTTGAGTGAAAACGGATTAAAAATCCATTGGGTTTGAAAATTGTTGTTCTTCATGTTCATGGTGTTCTTCATGACTTGAAGAAAGAAGGAAATGGGTTTTGAAATCCGAAGATTTTGGCAAGGAATTGGAAGATAAGAAGTATTGGGGTTTGCTTCCTATATCTAGGGGAGCTTGTATCTCAAATTTCGTGAAATTCCGAGCTAAAATCGTTGAGGGTTTATTTTGGGTCTTCATCTTGTTCATAGTGTTCTTGAAGTCAAATCTTCAAGAAGAAATCTTCCAAAAAAGTGTTTGATCCAAAAGGAAGAGAAAAGGAAAGAGTACTTGTGTTGGTGCAAAAGGGAATTTACCAAAAGGGGTGAGTACTAGGTCAAGGAAGTACAACGGGACCACAAAGAGTGCAAAATCGCAGGCTGAAAGTGTGCAGGAAGGTCAATTGGGCGAGCTAAGTCGTGCTTACAAAGAAGACTCGATGACTTGCCAAATGGGAGCTGAGCTTGCGAAATGAACTTACCTCTCTAGAAAATTCGGTGAGCTGAGGGAACTTCAGCGACTTGCCGAACTGATTCGGCAAGCTACAGGGAGTAAGTTGGCGATGTGAACTTCAATTTTTTTTTAAAAGTTTAAGTTTGGACACCCGAGCTTCATTTTATGATAAATCTCATGTTTTAACTTCCTAATCTCATTTTCCTTGATTCCTACTCACTTTGATTTTAAAAACTAATTTCCAACTAGTAAATGTCCTTGCTTAGTTGTTGATTAGTCTTGTGTCCGTTTTTCTTTCTTGTGCTTTCTTTGTGTGTTTTTTTAGTTTTACTTCATAGTTAACTTCTTGATTCAAGTCCGTGTTGCTTTAACGAATCGTCCGTCCTTCTTGAAACAAGAATCCATTTCGACGAAGAGCTTAATTGACACTTGTGTACCACCGGATTGAAACAAGGTTCAATTTTAGCCAAGCCAATTTGTGAGGTATTCAAAGGTGAGAAAATGCGAGTGTTGGTGAGAAGCTTTTACTACTAACCTTGTTTGCTCGTTTTGTAGGTACAAAGGAGTTATAAGGAAGTATGTCATCAATAGCCTCGGACCCATGTGATTATGATATGGGAGACAATGATTGTAATGATGGAGGCAATGGATGTGAGGATGATGGTGATTATGGAGGTTATGATTATAGCCATGATCAAGAGCCGAATAGGAATGGGAGCTAATATTCGGAGGAGAATATGAGGAACATGGTGAACATAGCTCTTATGGTGAAGATGGAGTGTACGACGAACCTTGTGATGGCTCCAATGGTGCTGATGGAGCATGTGAGAGATCTTACTCCCACTCCGAGAGTGAAGATGGTTCCTATAATGGTGCCGGAACATATTACACTTCCCACTCCAAGGATGAAGGTGAGGTGAGGTATACTCTCTTATATAAGAATTATGAGGAGCATGCCCCTAAGGCTTGTGAAGATTCATATTCTTTGTCTTGTGGTAATCCTTGCCCTAGTCGAAGCGGTGTGTATGGTTACACTAGTTCAAGTCAAAGTCATCCGAT